TATATATATATATATATATATATATATATATATAGCTACAGAATTTTAACCAACAAGACATATATATATTGAATTGGAACTGTAAGAAGACAATATCTTGCTTTGACAACAGCTTGCTTTATGTCATAAGATGTATATATCTGTCAATCATGAAATCAATTGAATACAAAATTTCTCCTTTACCGTAATAGGTAAATATGTATGTTTACACTTGATTTTTAACATTTGGTTGTTGATAGTTTTCATTTCACTTATCAATATAATATAAGTTGCACGTACAGGTTTTAAATTGAAGTATGTTATTAAGAATAAACAGGATTACATTTTATTTTGCCTTGTCACAAGTTTCATGCTACGTCTCAGATTACAAAGCAAAGCATTTTTATTCGCAGTTTCAATTAGACATTTGTGTAGTGCAAAAAGTTCAGTTTATAAATTACTTGTACAATTAATGTTTTTAATTAATTAAGTACATAATTCAAATTGCTGTGTAAATCTACTAATTTCTTACTGTGGAATTCAATGGTGTGTACTTCTATTTGTTATTTTCGCTATTTAAAATTCTACTCACACCCTAAATCACTAGTACTAGTAGTTATAGTACTCACTATTACTAGTAACTGATAGTATTACTATTGCTATTATTAATATTAGTAATAATATTAATTCTAGTCAGTAGCAATAGTATTAGTAGCACAACTAGTACGAGTAAAACTACCAAAATAAAATTAGTAGACACTTCATATCTGATTAATTGAAAAACATAAAGAAAAAGTTATAAACACCAGTTAATTAACGTGTAAGATAAATTTAACAATAATTTTAGAACAATCTTTGCAGATGCTGTTCGAATCAGCCTTGGTTAAAACTCAGTTACATGAGTTAGGCCTAGATTTGACCCACTATTTAGTACTTTTAGTATTTAACCATTATTAATAACTGAGACATCAAATACACTTTTAATTACCTCATTTATATTACCCTTCAAAATTATCTAAAACAAACATCGTATATTTTACATCCAAATTTAAAGATGTTACAGATTTTAAACAACCTTACCGTCCACACCCACACCTGCTCGAAACTAGATGATCTACAGGACCGTCACATTGCCGTGTACTGCTTATGTTGCAATTCTGATAGAATATTTTACACACATTTTTTGTATATTAATTTACAAAAATTATAATGTTCAGAGAATGTCACTAAAATAAGTTAATTATTTTACATATGGCTTGTAGGTAATATTATTTAATAATATGATATCAACACGCAAGACGCAGGGGGGGGGGGGATTCGGCCGAACCCCCTATTTTCCTGATGCAAAAAATTATACTATATAGTTATAGCATTGCTGTATATGGTATTTAATGTTTTGTACAACGTTTACATTCTTCAGATGAAGTATTAGCATTTTTTGGCTTGAAATAGCCGCATGCCCCCAGACCCCCATAGCATTAGCCTGTACGGGCCTGGTCACATAAATTATATTAAAACTGCTTAAAATGTTTTTAATCATAATGAATAGTGCACGGTCATGTGTCGTCCCATGGAAAGTTCGCTGGTTATAGTGTACAACAGTTGAAAATAAAATTATAAAACAGCGTTTATTTTAATTTTCCTGGGAAAGTTAGGAGGTTTAGGAATATTTCTAGACCTAAAAATGACTATTGTTCCATACTGTAATGAAGAAAGGCTTAGAGTTCGACATAGTTCAAAGTCCTGATTTTCCCTTTCAATAACACACGCATGAATGTGAGAGCAATTGATCCAACTAGAACACTGATCTCTGCCATGCCATGTATGGTCAAAAGAGAGAGAAGTTAAACGACTCTTGCAGATGCCGATGGTATAGGTGATACTGTTGCGTCAGCGAGGTCACGTGACTAGTATCACGCCACCTGTTTCTAGAAATATCCTGTTCCTTCAAGAATGCCCTAGTGTTTACTAGATGTGTGTTAGTCTTGTACATATAAGACGTTCACAACGTGATGGGACAACAGTGTAATGAATAATTGAATGTATGCGGACAAAATATTGTTTGCCACGTGAGACATAGCGTTGTTATAGAGCGACTGTTGAAATTAAGTGTATAGTAAAGTTATATTCAGAAAGAATAAACCAGTTTTATTTAAGAAAGGACTTGTGTCGCTAAAGTTTCGTCGGAACGAATTTATGGAAAATTAACTAACGAACGGAGACGTAACAATACTGTAATCTATTTTGATTGTATTTATGCTGAAGCGATTCCATTATGGCCTGATTGCAGAAGGACTACAGTTTTGAGTTTTTCTGTTGTTTGTTTGCTTTTCTATAAACGTAAATAAATCACGACCTATATCTCCAGAATGTAACTTTATCAGTTCAATATTTCGCTATTACAGGTTCGTCAGGAGCTATCGATGTCCTACAAGTTCCCTAATCTAGTTAAATCTAAATCGAACACTGATACACGTGTTTAGAAAGTTCATATTATAGTAAAATAATATCAACATTCTTGAATTTATATTGTTAAGACAAATCAAGACAACAATGCTAAATAAATAAAATGTGTAAACCAATAAATTAACTTTTAACATCGTTCGATTTAGAATAGAATACGTTACGTATCTAAAACATTTATTCATATTTGTATTGGTAAGTATTTTCAATCTTATTATATTAATACATATATAAAACAATGTCTGAAAATATATTTCAATCCTTATAAATGTGTATAGAGACTTCGTCAAAGTTCGACATATTAAAATCTTTAAAATGTCATTAATGTCTCTAAACTAAAAGCCAACCTTTGTATTTATTCAACTTAGGTTTATTTTTCTTGATTAAAATGGATTATTTAATTTTTCTGTCCAGAAAAGTATGACATTTAGATAAGATCTTGACATCCGATAAGATGGTAGGCCATGTTCTGCAATAGGGTTGTTAGTATTGAGGTATAACAAAAATCCTCTTCTGAATATTAGAGTGCTGCTGTTGCTGCAACGATATGTGATTTTGATCTTGTTGTGACCTCTGACTTAGGTGGAATAACTGCTAATATCTGGAGCGCTTAGTTTTACTGATTGAGTTCTCCCCTTGAGAGTT